ATGACTTGAGAAATGATTAACCACTTAATCACATCCTAAGCATAATGTGTGTGTCAGGGACCTAAGAGACATCACCAAGCAAACCCTGAATGATGCATGGTCTGGACCATCATGGCTACTGCAACACTAAAAGTGTTGCAAATGTGAAATATTGATTCCTCTGTGAAATCCTATGAAATACGAACTTTCATTTTTACCCAGGAGAACTTTTACAATCTTTTGTTCAATGCCTGATGAATGGTGTTTGTGCCCGAAAGCTTGCAGTGAAATATTGTTTTTGCAAAACTCTTCTTGGTCTAGTAAAAGATACCATCTCTACTATGAGTCCTGATTGCCTCTTGCAAATGTGATGCACTTTCATGATTCCCCAGCAGGTGGCACAATTGAATCATTAGCCAAATGACTTGTCTGCACTTGATCTGTTTGCATTTACATTCTGATTTCATTTCACACTCCACAGAGAGCATTACAGTGTTAGTAACTCCAGGGGCTATGAAAGGAGTGAAAGGATTATGAATTCTTAGTTAGATAGTGTCTAAAGTGGGTGATAAATGTTGTGGTTCCTGCTGCTCAAATACTATTGTGGTAAAACACCACAGAAAAGCCCCCAAGGAAATTAATAGCTGTGTTATCAGAGCAGGGCTTGAAAGGCAGGAAGTAAATGAAGTCTGGAGTCACAAATTTGAATAGTGAGGAGAAAACAAAATGCTAATCAGTTGTTCATTAAGTGAGCACTGCTTCTGGGCCCAGAGTGAGGAAAGGGCTTGTGTTCATGTATTTAGACTGTACCAAAAGGTACACACACAAGTGGTCAAAGTAAGGTTTGACAAATAACCTTCATTCCTGCCTTTCTGAACTATTGAGAGCTTGACTTGACAACCTCTTTTCCTCTTTTTTTTCTTTGCACCCACTTTTCAACTATGTCCCAGTATATGTCTGCAGCTGCTGGTACTGGAAGGTGCTTGCAGTCCAAGGCAGAGTCTTAGACCAGAATGGGCAGCAGACCCTGGGCTGGTGGAAGTGGGGTCTGGGGCTCCCAAACTTCAGTGCCAGTTGAGCTACTAAGGTGATGCTTCCTCAGAAACCTTACCATGCTTGCCAGGGGTGTCCACAGACAGGCTTTGCAAAACTCCAGGCTGAATGCCTCCTAAAACCAAAAGAAGTATAGCCGTGTCTGTGTGGTGCTGAGACCGGACTAAACAGCTTGGGGTCTGACTAATTAGTCTTCCTGAAGTGCCCCATGAATGTGGTTACACTGCCTCTGACTGCAGAAGCAACCTGCCCAAAGCAGCATGGTGTGCTTGAGGTTGCTGCCACCAAGCACAACAATTTTAGCACATGGCTATGGCCTGAGGCTCCATGTCATGGGGCTTCACTACAGATCCCAATCAGTTAGTTCTGCTGGGAGTCAGTCTTCTGTTTGGGTTGGATTATCTAATACATTAAGATTCCTAAAGATGCAGACAGATGGTCACTGAGGTTCTCAAAATTGCCCAGTGCTCTTGATGTTGGTCCTGTAGGTGCTTCTGCATTCAGATCCTAGCTCAAGAAAATGGCCTGTTTGCTTGAGCTTCTGTTTATAATTCCTCTCAACTGAGTGAGATTAAAAGAATCGTCCCACTTCAGTGCTGGATACTTTAATTGCAACTTTAAGCACTGCCCTTACTTTCTGAAGTTAAGGTAGTTCTTTTACTAGGCTGATTTCACACTCTTGATGCCTCTCATTTTGAAAAGAAAAATCTCTGGTACAAAAATGCAGCAGAGAGTTTCTTGTGTGCATTCATCTCAGGCCCTCCCTTCATCTCTCCTTGGGGAATTTTAGGAAAGGGGGTTTGTTTTCTGCAAGTATTTTATTTAAAATGTGTATCCCTTTATCTCTTCATCCTGCCCACGTACAGTTACCCTGCCAGGACCCCCTGCACTCCAGTGCCATGAAAGCTGGGCGCACTGACACCCTGGCTCTCCCTGATGCACTTTCCCCATTAAATGCAACGGCTCTGTGCTGTGCTCATTCATCCCCCACTCATTCCTTTGAAGTCTGCTTATTTCACAGCTACTCTCCTAAATCACCAAGTCCCACTGCTGCCTCCTCTACTCCCACTTGCTACCACTGTAAGGCATAGTGCTGGGTAGGGACGGGGAAGGGGAAGGAAGAGGAAAGTGACTGATGGCAGCAGCATCAAATTCAAAACGGTCTCTGATCCTTTTGATTTTTAGTTGTGATCTTTCCTGGCTCACCATCTGCTGCTCTCTCTGAAAGCATGTCTGCTTCTTTAAAGGAAGCTTTACTTAACCTTAACTAATAAGCTCATGTGACAGCTTAGGCATGCAGCCCTACTCTTCTCATTCAAGGTGCTGGAGTTCCCTGTGCCTCTAAGACAATGCTCTCCCAAGAGCTCCAAAAGCGCAGTCGGTCTGAGTGTTTTTAAAACATTAACCCCTACGCCTGTCAGCCCTCCTACTCCTTTAAAATCGGGAGCCACTGCATCCCTCCCTGAGGTGAATCATCCTGCATTTCAGCCTTCACCCTAAACAGTAGCTAGCCACATTTACTCAGAAGAGCTCAAATATTTGCTGTCTTTACTTACTCCCATATACTTCTCAGGGTGGAGGGAAGAATCAGCTCCTCTCACCAATGATAACTGCTTCCCCTAAGCAGGTCCATGCCAGTCCAAGTGATTGGGTTGGCTGGACCCCAGCCCTACAGTTTGGCTCTGCTCCTACTTTGCTGCACACTTTATTATGAAGCTTAAAGAAACAGCCCAGTGAGTATAACTAGAGAGCCTTTAATCACTATTAATCAGCTGATCAGGCGAGCTGCCATAGGGGACTCGCACAGGGGGTCAAGTGCTATAGAACAGTTACATCTTTTATTTGCTATAAAATGAATACCTAGGGAAACCAATCCAATTCGAATGATTTCACAAGAAGACCAGTCACCAGTTACTATGCAGAGACCCAGACAGATCTACCCCATTTCACTAGTTTGGTATGTTTACCAATTAGTTGTCCCCTCACTACTGAAGATCCCTTCAAACCTCCCTTTCTTTCTGGAAGATGTCTCACTGGACCTATCGTCTTCTAGGCATTATCTACAAGGACCTTGAAACTCGTTATATTTTTGGAAGCCCAACTGAGCCTAGTGTTTTCTTCCAGGAAGGCAGAGGGAAAAGAGGAACTTGGTTGAAAGCAGAGACCTCATTAAACTAAGAAAAGAGGTGGTTAATGGGAGAGAAAGGCCTGCTGGAAGCGGAGGCCTTGTTGAGCCAAAATATTGTTAAGCCTTAGTAGGGCAGTGTCAGGGCCACAGGGCTGTTAAAAGTTGGGTACTTTTAAATCCCCCTGCTGGACTGACGGTACAACTTTTTAGAAATCCTCTAACATTAAAAAAGTTTGTTTTTTCCCCTCTCTACTGTTCCCATCCTTTAAAGTCCCAGAGGAGAGGATATTAAAGTGGGTGATGTACTTTGTAATGGCTCATTGCCAGCCATGTACAGAACCCAGCTAACCTGTTTATTTAGAGCAGGAAAACCTCTCTCGCACTGTTTGGGCCATGGCATCCCCACAAATAATTAATTCCCCCTTTTTCATACATATTTTGTTCCCATGGGCCTTCATCATTAGTTTCAATTGCTTTCTGCTGACACACACTTGAATCCAAAAATGTATTTCTAGTGAAGTGCTCCTTCAGCTAGCTGCTTGGTTACAGCAGAATCAATCCATCAGTCAGTCAAGAATCAGTCTTGATTACATAGATTGAATTGAACACTTGTCCAGGTATTCTGCATATGCACAGGCCAGACTTAAGAATTTATCAGTGTGGGGATCACATGCAATAAGTGCAGCAGCTGCATAATCCCCTGTGAAGCACTGAGGGTAGAGGACACGTTATATTATAGATAGAAACTGGAAAGGATGGAGCAGTGTTTGTAGGCCAAGGTTGATTTATATTTAATCACTCTTTGGGGTGTCCCCCCACAGCAGGAGCAAGAGAAAAGTAAGTATGTCCAAATAAGAATAGTCTTGTCACCACAAACAGTAAAGGGCAGACTGCAAATATTCACGTATAACTCAACCTGAGCTCCTGATTTTATCAGCCTTCTCATTTTGTGAGGACATTTGGCTAAATATGGCATATCCTATCATTCAGGCTGCAGGCTTCACCTTTTTATTGTAGCATTTCCCAAGAGGGAACCCCAGAATGATTAGAATAAAGAGTGGGTGGGAGATCTGTCTATTCTGAATATTGAAATCATCCATATGTAGCACCAGCACCTACGTACTACATCAATAGGCTTCTTCAAATGCCCATAGGGAGTAGCAGTCAGAATCCTAATATCAACAAATATTATAATCCCTGATAAATTATGCTGTTTTTAAATCCTATTTTTTATCCTTTCTTAGAGAATGAGAGAAAGCAATACAACAGCCTTGACCTCTGTGAGAAATGCATCTGATTCAATTGCTGCAAACCACAAAGAGCAGCTGGTTTTGACTTATATTTGACAGTGAAAGGGATCACCAGATTTTACCTTTGTGCTCAGCTGTATCCAAGCATGGCAAGCTAGAAGAAAGATGTGTTGTTTTGTTTTTTACCCCCCAAGATCATGAGCAGCTGAAAACAAGGAAAGTTGTATCTATCAGGTAACTGTCATGTGGATACTTTTCTTCACTTCCTTTAAATCTCTTTGATGTATTATAATACTGTAAATAGCTGATATGTATTTCAATGATATCTTGGTTCCCTGTTATAGTTCAGGTTATGAAAACACAGAATAAGTTCTACCTACACTTTCGACTGTCCACCTTTTTTGTGGGGGGCGGGAGGGGAATGGAGGGAGAGAGAGACGAGTGCATTTCACTTACTGAAACTCCTCACACATATATTACATAAAACACACATGTTCATTCTGAATTAGTTCTATACAGTCTTCCTTAAATGCCTGAAGTGACCTGTGTCACTGTTCAGTTGCATAGGCTATTCATCCATCCTTTCATACATTACTCTCACAGTTGCTTCTGACAACACCTTCACCATTGCCTTTCCCAGCATTGGGTCCTTTAACCATTCTCTTAAGGCTAAATATGAACACAAGGGGGCAATGGCACACTGCTCCGCTCCCCTGTGTAGATTACATTAGTTTTATGAAGACTCTTGTTGCCTTAAACCTGAATGTTTCCCATTGACCTACAATGTTTTCATCTTTTTTACTTCCATTTATCCCTCTTTTTCATTCTTATGCTCTTATGGGAATTAAAACTGGCCCAAAATTTCAATTTGCACGGGTTTGGGAAGGCTTGCAGATTTCATCTCTTCCCATTTCTCGACGAGTAACCTAGTTCAGATCTGGTTCTTTGTTTTCAGTTACAAGCAATCTAAACCTTCTTTCTTAGCCTGGTGGTACTCTTGCCTCAAAATATGTCCTTTGTAAGCATTGCCTTGTCCTGAATCGATCCCTCAGGCTCATGTCAAATTTGAGAGCTCCTCTTTTGATCACAAATCCAAGAGCTATGTAGAGTTTTTGGACAATTCACGTTTTGCACGGGATCAGACAAAGGACATTCACCAGAGAGAAGGGAGCCCTGGGTTCTGGTTTCTTTATCGGAGTCCTAGGATCAGGGATCAAACACCAGCTTTCCCTCTGCCCAGGAAATGCTCTAGCCACTACGTTCATGAGTCATGCTCCTTCTTGTTCATTCATTCTAGACAAATAATTTTTTGCAGCATGGCACAGTTTCAGAGGGAAGGGTGAGAAGTCTTAGCATAGCATCGTATAGCATGTCTTACAGCCTGATGGTTCAAGCAGCTCCTGGGAACCCAGAGAATCCCCTCAGGGAATGGACCCCAAGTCAGCCACTTCCTCGGTGAACACTTTAAACACTATCCTGTAGTGTAAAAGGTGGGCAATGGTGCTGCATTTTGTGAGGGCCTATCAGACCTGATCTGAGAACACAGGGGTTAACCATGATGGACTGGCTCTGCAGTGGACTTAAGTGGAGGATCACCTTGTGCCTAGGTATTGATCAAGCTTAGGCAGGAGCTAGGTGCCTATTTGCTCAGAATGCAGATGCATAGAAACAGAGCTGCAGGGAACAAGAGAATTTAAAGCTCAACAGAGAGGCACTTTGTGAAATTTGGAACCTGAGGTCTAAGGGAGCAATTTAGTGGTGTTTTTTCATATAATTTGGGGATTAGATAGTGCCCGGTTCTGCCTACACTCTGCTTAGGTGCCTAAAGGTCTGGGCGGAAAGAAAAATTATACCAAGTTAAAATGGGGAGGCGGGGGGAGGAGGGATGACTTACTAGATGCCAGCTGCTCTGTCTCCATGCCTATCCAGCAGTGAATGGAAACTAAATCAGCACAGCTTTCTCCTGAATGAAACAATTACTAAATTACTCTGGTTTAATTTCCACTTACTCTGGGACAGAGCAGACATATGAAACAGCATGAATCAGATGCTATTTGGCAAATACTCTACCCCCTTTCTAACTTCATATAATTGATTTGCTGATCAACACTTTTAATGAAAAAAACTACATAAGTAGACTTAAAACATCTTAGATAATGCTCATGAAACAAAAAAGAGAAAAGAACATGGATTAAAGTCCAGCTATATTTCTTTACTGTAAATTTCTAGCACAAATAAATGAGTTTGTCACTTTGCACTCACAGTTAAGTGTGGGCAGAATTAATGTCACTTCTGTTATCTTCAGAAATCAGGCTGTCAACTAACAAAATAACCTTTTATTGTTTCAGAAAACAACTGAAATAAAAAGGTGCAGCAGTAAATATTTGGAGCCATAAAAATGTGTGTAATAATTTTCATATTTTGAGCCTCAAGACTGAACCCCTGTGAAGTGCAGCTTGAAAATTTGGTCCAAAATGCTTATGAGGACAACCTGCAAAACTTCTTGTCACTGAACATTTCTTAGTTGAATTACATTTCCATGCTCTGCACCCCATGCTGCACTTTTAAAAGACAGTGGTGTTTCTCAATAACAAAACTCATTTCCTATTACTTAAATGTGTTTGTACCCTTTTTTTTAGGGATAAAACAATATTTAGTGCATAAGATACACCACTTAGAAGAGGTGAAATGCTATTCACCAACATTAAACAAATATAAGAAAATTAAGGAGTAACCTCCCTGAAGTTAGAAGTCTGGCTCAGCACTGATGGAGAAATAGAGGCAATGTTACAGGCACTTGGCACATTAACTACCCTTTTGCCCTTAGAAGTGATCTCTCCAGACAAGTTTGAAACATGTTGGGGGAGGGCAGCTTGCATTGTTGCTATCCAGGCTGGAACTTTCTCATGGGTAAATAGAGGCCTTCATTCTCCAGGAAGGCCCAACCAACCTCTTATATAAGTTCACACACACGGATGTAATGCAGAATCACATCCATGTCTATGTACAAGAAAATATTGGGGTAAAATTCGCTCCTTGCACCACCACCAAGCCAGGTTTTAAAGCACCTCATCTCTATTACTTGATCGGTATTTTATGAAGCTGTGCATTTCATGCACTTGCCAAAAGTTTTGCTCAAGCCACCTTTACCAAGGACTTTGAGACCTGGGGATGAAAAGTGCTATAAAAGCACTGAGTATCACTACTACTAAGAGGGGAAAGGGGAAATGCAGGCTGTTTGGTTGCCAGACGGGTGAATTTCTGCTTGAAAGTTCATTTAGCTTTGATTTTCAGCTGTGGAGCACTGAGAACAAGTGGTTCTTGCAAATTGGGGACCCTATCCTGTTTTTCCTTCTGCAGGCACGTCGCCCAGTGGCTCTGTGTGGATTTCATATGAAACAGAAGTGTAAGGATGAGGCCTCCGGCTAGCAGTAATAGCCATGTGATGAGGTCGAGACAGGACAATGGGAAAAACTGAACTTGGCTGCAACTGAATGCCATGCTGATAAATGCAACTCCGCTGGTTTTTATAAACAAAAATTAAACTTAATTTGCTTCACAGTGGTTAAGGTGCTGTTAATTCAAAAACCACAGAATAACCCACTGGACGCAGTTAATAGTCAGCAGACTACATAGGCCAGAACTTGAAAGCATTTAATATTCACTGAAGTGCTGCTTGTATCCAATTATAGCTCACTACTTGCCATCTTAATAATTTAAATCTGTCCACCCTTTCTGAGAGAAAAAAATTCACTAATCAAAGACATGAATGCACCTTTTGCTTTTGACAGCATTAAATTAAAGCTAAATGGTAGATCTTGAATGAGTTACTGTGCAAGAATAAAGGCATTAATGAGGTAATTTCATTATAGAGGCTCATCCAAGCCTATGTGAAAACAAGGGGAGTAAATGGAGAGGAAAGCTGCTGAGGAAATTAGGGTTCCTTCCACACTAATTAATGTTTTGGGGCATTTAGTACAGGCACCAAATTAACTGCTCCAAAGAACTCTCATTGAAAAAAATACATTGTTGCCCTCCCATGTAATTAGAAGACAGTACAACTAGAACACTTAATGAGTATAAAGCCGGCCTTTAACTTATTCTGCCCAGCCACTGAAAACATGCCATTATTGAAGCCTAAGTTTAAGGAAGCACTAAGCGTACAATATAGGATTGTTTAGGTCCTTCTGCTCTGTGAGCTGTAAACAGGTAGCCCCTGAATGAGGAACTATGAGACTCCTGGGAGGCCTGTCTTCCCAGCAAAACAGTTTTAAATGCATCCAAAGGAAAGAAAAAAAGGTGAATAGGCCCGGCACAGTTAGCACAGTGAATGCTCAATGCTGTCTTAAGTGATTACATGATGTTATGCCACCCCCTCTCATTGAGTTATCTTTACACTGCTTTTGTCTCCTCTAATTGGAGCTGATGAGGTGCTAATTGGTTGCTTTTTTAAAAAAGCACTACTTAAGCACTGGCAAACAGAGTGAGACAGCGTGAGTGGAGTTAATGAGGGTTTAACCAAAAAAAAAAAAAAAAAGCAGCAAGAAGTATTGAGCTTTCGGACATAGGGAAATGTTTTATATAAATGGCTTTGGAAAGTTGAATTTTGTAAGAGATAGGACACAACCTGTCATCCATGCACCCCCCACTACCCTTCACATTCTTCAAAGACACTGTAACCTCATTATTATCTTGATAGGCTTACAGAAAAGAACCCTCCAGGCAAAGCACTCGAAGCAGATAGGTCTCTCATCTACCTGAATGAGGGCTACTGCCACTTTCATTTGGTTGTTAGACCTTCTTCACTTCCCTGTTTGCCAACAGGCCTTTGACAGATGATGCCAAAGCATTTCGTTTGTGTTTATAACCCTCAGTGTGTCCCAGTGTGTTGGAACACTTCGCTGTCCTGTATGTATTTACTTAGACTGTGACATCTTTGAAGCAAAGATGTTATGTACAACTAGACCCAGACAGAGGCATGGGTGAACCAGGTGGCTGCTCAGGTCCTGGACAGAAAAGGGACCCAAAAAAGGGGGAAAAAATTAAAAAAGCAAAAAAAAAGTTGTAACTTTGCACATATGCATAAACCTAATCCTGTGCTTTTAGTTCCACAAATTCAATCATTCAATGATTGAAGCAGTCAGTAATTTTTTACCGTTGTCTGATTATTATTATCATTATCTCTGGCAAAGAGGAGCCCAATACTAAAAGTTCACCCAGGGCGTACAGCACTGTGTACAATGTCTAGCATAGTGGGCCTTCGGCTGTTACCACAGCACAAATAACACCAAAGAATCACTGATGGGTTTTAAGGTGTAACAGTGTACAGCACGAGCCCTCTTCTTCTCCAGGAAATCTACAGTCTTAGTTTCTACTGGTTTCCTAGGATTCATCGCATGAGAGGGCTCATGCTAATGCAGTCACAAACCATACTATATAGACACACACCTAATGTAGAGAATGACAGCTGTGATCCAACCGTCAGAAATCCTGAAATCTTGGAGAACTCCCTGTTGAAGGGCATTGTAAGACGTGAATTTTAAGAAGGTATTTTACAGTCACGTAAGAATGGTGTGATAGCAGTAATAGTCCAGAAATTATGTAAGGCAAGGATTTCTTAGGGTGATACCTTCTGTTGGACCAACTATGTAGCTAGGAT